CTGACTATTGAATTATTAGCCTTTGAATAATTTGATTTGTTCAGGACGCATTCAAATACATCGCATTCGGTTGCTTGCCTAATGGAATATTACGTTACTGTCGCCTGATTTCGGAGCATTGTGGTTAGCTCTAGGCAAAAAGTAAAAAGTCCTCCCGTCATTATCAACTGCAAGGTAATAGTGGCTACTTTGATATTTTCTCTCTCGTAAAAGCCCAGCTGTTACTATTATGTATTTCACTTCCTATCTTTTTACACTGCTCATTCGTACAGTCAGGATGGTACAAAACCTCCCCTACAACGAAAACAACATTTTGATATTTAAGATTCTGGGTTTGATCAGGCCCTGGGAGTCATGAGAGCTAAATATGCTATTTAATAGAGCTGCTTTTATGAGGATTGATTTAAGTTGGTGGTCATTTTGAGTAGCTATTTATTGTTCATATCCTTTACATTAAGGCGACTGACTATAAAGAATATAAAAAGTATATATGATATGTTGCCCACAAAAATGAGCAAAGTATTTCTCCTTCAAGAAGATACCAGACATGAGGAATGCTATGAAAGATCATTCCGAATCAAACCATGCCCACAGTTCTGGATTTTTATAGGAAAGCTGCAGCATTCTAATTATTTCCCAGGTGCTTTCTCTGTAAATGTTTACAGTAATATATGGTTATAGTTTTTAAGATTAAAGTTCAGTTTCAAGGTGGGCGTTAAGGTCAAAATAAGGGTTGGGAGGTGGGATTATGGTGAGAGTTAAGAGTAGGTTTATGAACATTGTCAGAAATATCAATCGATCTCTAAGTACTATTACCTACAGTCACCTGGATGAATGCAACCATCGTTCTTGGTACGATTTTTCTACGGATCGTCTGTGTAGTAACTAAGAGACATTCTTACAACTATGTTTTCAGTGCTGTTCAGCGCACAGCACAGAAGAACACCCACCACATTCCAGACACCCAGGCTGCCCCCACGATACTGGATAAGCCCTCCAGTGACAGTAATGGAAAGACTGCCGCGAAGAAGAGGCGTACCAGGGGTCGAAAACCTGCAGCTCCAGTCGCCCAGGGACTGGCGGAACAAGCCTCATCCACACCGGTGATCAGCAGACAGATAAATCCTACCACGATTAGTGAGGAGGACGCCAATGAATGGCGCAATGTAGTCCCTCGCAAAAAGCGAGATAAGGATAACACTTTGGCTACACCACCCAAGAAGGATAGAAACACACTTACGCCTCAGAGCAAGAAAGTCACGGAAAGCAAACCCGATCTCTCTCACAGGTCTCTCATTCTCCACAAAGTGGAGGAGTCACTGGCCCTCGATCCTGCGGCCAGATTCGAGCATGACCTTAACTTGGTCAAGCCCCTTTTAGACAAGCTACTGCCACAAACAGTATCAGGCATTACTATACACAGCGTATACAGAATAGGCCAAAAGCCTGACCCTACAGTAAGTGAGCCTGTACGTCTCCTCAAAGTCGTACTAAACTCTAAAGCAGAGAGGGATGCTATTCTAAGCAACTCTCATATTCTCAAAGGATCAGGGATATATGTCCGCGCTGACTTAAGCCTAGCAGACCGTGTCAAAAGACAGGCTGCGGCACTAGAATTAAGTGAGCGACGCCGGAACGGTGAGAAGAACCTTAAGATTAAGGGTTTTCGGGTTGTCCGAGTTCGCAGTTTAATGATCCCGAAACCTCTGTGGGTGGGCCGGGGAAGCACCAATCTGAATTAACAGTCTGCTACACAAACGCCCGCAGCCTGTTAAATAAAAGGACTGAGCTGGCAAACATGATAGAAACCGGAAACCCGGATGTAATTATTATCACAGAGACATGGCTCACACCCGATGTCACTGACAACGAAGTTAACCTGCCAAACTTCGAAGTGCACAGGGTAGACCGACTAAACCGCAAAGGAGGGGCGTAGTCATCTACCTCAAGAAAGGCTTAACCGTGCGTAGTATCGAAGCACTCGCCCACGAAAGTGAGTCGTGCGAACTTCTACGCTGCAGACTTAAATGCATAGGCCAAGACATTGACCTCATTGCTGTGTACCGCAGTCCTGACTGCAGTGCAGACGACTTCCTAATAGAGAAGCTAGGCTCCTGGACTTCAAAATGTCGAAGTCTCGTAGTCGGTGACTTCAACGCCCCAACAGTTGACTGGTCGAGCCTAACAACTCCATCTTCAGTCAACTCCTTTGATCATAAACTGCTAGAATCTAGTATATCGCTAGCCCTAGTCCAACATATCATTAAGCCCACGCGCTATGACTCACAGCACTCCTCATCAACTCTGGACCTAGTGTTCTCACACGGTGAGGATGTGGATCTCATACATCTTCCTCCGTTAGGAAGAAGTGACCATGCTGTGCTCACTTTCAAGTTCACAGCAACGGCAGCAAGGGCCAAAACCCCAGCTCGACCAAACGTTTGGAAAGCTGACATAAATGCGATCGTCTCAGCAGCCAACTCAGTAAACTGGTACATCAATCCAGAGTCCCAAGTAGAAGCCGCATGGAACCAATTTAAGCAACTTTACGCCCAAGTAACTGTACCTTTCATCCCTTGGTCTGTTCCAAAGGGTCGGAAACATTCCCCCCTTGGATAAACCGGGAGATTCGTAAGTTACTCAGACGTAAACGCAAATGTTGGAACCTGTTTGCCACACTTGAGACTTCTGAGACCAGGGAATTATATAATACTACTAGAAATAAAGCTATCGCAGAAATCCGCCAATCAAGGATGAAGTTCGAGACACACCTGGCTCAAAATGCAAAGGCACAACCTAAGAAAATTTTCTCGTACTTGAATTTCAGGAATAAAACACCCAATGGTGTCCCAAACCTGATTATTGACAAAGATACAATCGAAGAAGATCAAGAAAAAGCAGAAGCAATGGCAAACTACTTCTCCCAAGTCTTCACTCAGGAGTCATCACTGCCTATAGGATCAGCTCTGGCTGCATCAGAAGAACATGGGATAGATTCCGTTGACATCGACCAAGGCATCGTGCTCAACTTCTTAATGAAACTAGATGCAGGGAAATCAATGGGTCCTGACAATCTTCATCCAAGGCTTCTCAAGGAGCTATCAGCCCACATAGCCGGCCCCTTGACCACGATCTTCAAGCTATCTCTCCTAAATGGAGTGTTGCCACGTGATTGGAAAGACGCCATAGTAACCCCCATACACAAAGGAGGATCAAGACAAAGCCCTTCAAATTACAGGCCTATCAGTCTCACCAGCACTTTAATCAAGACACTGGAAAGAATTATCAAGAAAAGCATCATGGCTTATCTGGAAAATAGCAGCTTGTTATCTGGAGCACAGCATGGCTTCCGGAGGAACCTCTCATGCCTGTCAAATCTCCTGACTGCAAGAGAAAGCTGGGTCAAATCAAAGGACAACAGAAGACCCGTTGACGTCGTCTTCATAGACTTCAGTAAAGCCTTTGATAAAGTACCTCACAAAAGACTACTCATGAAATTGGAAAGTCTTGGTATCAAAGGCAGACTACTAGACTGGCTCAGGGAATTCCTCATAGATAGGAGGCAGAGGGTTAGGATCAACTCAAAACTCTCCTCCTGGACAGCAGTAAGTAGCGGAGTGCCACAAGGCACGGTTCTCGGTCCTCTCCTTTTTATTCTGTATATCAATGAGTTACCTCTGCTCACCGACTCCCCTATGGTCCTATACGCAGATGACTTAAAAATTTGGAGAGAGCTGAAGGGCAACAGTGATACGTCCCGTTGCAAGAGGACCTCAACAAATTGTCGGAGTGGTCTGTTGAATGGATGCTCCCGATCAATGTGGCAAAATGTGCAACCATGCGCATTGGACAAGCAAGCACGAGCTCCTACGAACTAGAGGGAATAACACTTCCATCAGTTCAGACTCACTTGGACTTAGGTGTCATAGTTAGCCACGACTTAAAAACTACAGCACACTGTCGCGCGGTGGCTGCACGTAGTTTCAGGTCCTTATGGGCGATTCGCAGAGCCTTTACAAGAATTACCAGAGATATGTTCACCTCCTTATATGCATCTCTGGTTAGGTCAAGACTGGAAAACTGCATCCAGGCCGCCAGTCCTTGTCTAAAAGGGGATTCACACATTCTAGAAAGTGTTCAAAGGAAGGCAACACGTATGGTTCACGGCATAGCTAACTTATCATACGAGGAAAGACTAGATAGTTTAAATCTCTTCTCACTGTCATACCGTAGGCAGAGAGGAGATTTAATCACAATGTTTAAAATTTTAAATAATGACTACGGACCTGACCTATTCTCTCTTTTCCTTCCCACCAGGTCGGAACACCTTAGAGGACATAGCAGGAGAGTTCAAAAGCCAAGGAGAAATCATATTGCTGTTGAGTACTGGTTCTCACATCGAGTCATAAACTCTTGGAACCGACTCCCAGAAGAAGTGGTGTCTGCAACCTCAACTGATTCGTTCAAGAAGGGTTTGGACAACCACAGAAATATACTAGAAAAGGATTAACATAGGCTTCAAGCCTTCTATCCTCAACCAATAAATCTGAAATCTAAATCTGATTTTTCCATTATGGGTAAATTTTGTTTTGATAAAGTCTCACAGTGTTATACAGTAATGTTTACTGATCAGTAAACATTACTGTATAACACTGTGAGACTTTATCAAAACAAAATTTACCCATAATGGAATTACACTCTACCACAGTGCACAAGTTTTATTCTTATATTAATGATAAATCTGATTTTTCATCGACAAAGAGACTTTTTTTTATCTGAATTCTGATCCGTTTTGCAAAGTCACTGCGATTTTGGCTATTATAGTTTAACTTTGCCTGCAGTAACATTAGACCTTCATATTAAGAAATGGAATCACTATTACCATTTTACAGAATCCGAATTGGGAAGCATTTTATTGGCAATTGTACTGTTGTAAGTTGAGCTGTATTTCCACAAGGCCGCCTGCGAAGTTTCAAAGATTTCAAGGTCGCCTTTCTCTCATGATTCCCCACCATCCTCAACATGCTGTACCTCAGTATCCTGCAGCAGGAAGAGCTGTGATGACTGGTAAAAGTCGAAATACACTGGTTTTAATTTTTCCCTATGAGATTTTTTTCATAACTTTCTAATACTAAATCAGTTTTAGAGTTTTTAGAGTAGTTTTACTTCAGTTTACATTACTGGTTTTTATATTATCCTACCACTAAATTGTTTGGTATCATTAGGTATTTTGAAGGTGTACAGTTTTTCCCCTAGGTTTTGAGTATATTTACGAACTCATACAAGTGCTGGACTGCACTGTACTTGTATTGACAGTGATTTGCCCAGACACCAGGCATACCAATGATATTCATTTTTTTAAACCAATGTCTTGTGGATAATGTAGAGAAAGTATTTTTGTATTCGTTATCTTCACTTCTTACATACTTCGTGACTTTAGTGAGTACGAGAAGTTGGGTCAGCTGTTGGCAGATGTGACTCCCCACATACCTGAAAATTGTTTCGTAGTCTGTTTGCAATAGTCGAGCGTCAATTCGCGTTTCCGTCCAGTTATTCCTCACTATATAGGGCAAAGTTGAATTATAGGGTCCCAAGAGATGCGAACACACGAGTAACCTTTAGCCGACCAACCATATTGGACTGAGGTATGCTGAGCAGTCGTATAAAACTGTTGGATGGAGTGAATGCATCACTATTAAATATTTTAAATGATATTACTGATATTATTACATTACTGGATATTCAATATATAAGCACGCTGATAAGGCAGCCTACATGGCTTAAATCAGTAATCAAACAGTTACGGATTTGAGTCATTTTTAGGTTGTTCATATCCTTTTTAGCCGGATTTTTGCTTGAGCGTTACAGTTCCTAATGATTTCATCAGCTTTGAATACATAACACATGTACCTATCATCTCGTTTTGGGAAAATCCATCCTGTACTTAATGGTGCATTTAGTTCAGACATTTCTTATACCCTTCGTCCACAGGACATGGAAAGCTAGTGAACGAAGCTTTAATTGCCTCTCTTACTCTATGCGAGACTTCATTTTGTGATCCTTTTTAACTTGAAAGATCTACATCGTCTTCAAGCTAAAGTAGATGCGTAAGAGGTCGTTTCTTCAGGCTTCTTGGTAAAAAAATGCTTACAGCACCTGTCATCGTTTCAAGCACTTCCCATAAACTCTCACATACTTTAGAGTAGGATATATTGGTGAGCATAATATCAGAAAAGCATGCTAAGACTCATTAACGAAACCAAATGCTGCTTTCCGTTCAAAAACAGTAGGCAATTAACAGATCTGCCTTCCTTAACTTTTCAGAGGGAAAAACTTGCACCACTGCACTCGCTTGGGTGTAAAACCTATCTGGTCTTCGCAAGCTTGCTGCTCCCGATCTCTATGTAGCCAGTGGAGATGTGGTTCATTGACTTGACCATTAGACTGACAGCTGATGGATTTCAGTTTCGAACCCCACTACTTCCTTTAACCTGGGTGACTAGACTGACGCGATTTACTTACTTCAAACATAAGACGATACTACAAGAGTGGGCTATTTTGACTCCTGGTGGGAGAGCATCTTGATCACCACTTATTCGGGAAGTTGCGTCAACCCCAGTGTGCTAGCTGCTGACGAGATTTCAACACGGATACAAAAGGCTCGCTTGCCGTTTGCCAACATACATCTCTGCATGTAGCGGCATAAAACATGGGCCAGGCAACAAATCATTTGTAAAGAAAATCAGGAGATATACATATATCTTTATGTACATTATTATTTGTTATTATTAGCAGATAAATAGCGTCTTCTAATTAGTCGTTTTCTCACTGGAAGATATTCTGTCGTCTCTTCGTGGCCGTTTCTTTAAGGTCAGACTATATATCTGCTAATCGTATGCGCCCACGAAAGGTCTTTCTTGTTTTTTCGTGACCAAGATTTGGGACGTAAACGTTGACGTAAATTGCTGTCTACCAATTTTGGCTAGCAGACAGCTCTCACCACGTGGTGTAGGCATGATATCCGGTTATCGATCAAAGGACGTGTGTACTACTCAGTAGTTCTCTCCACCATACTTTATGTTTGTGAGAAATGGCAATTAAAAGTGGAATATATTAAAAGGTTAGCTTTCTTTGATCATAAGTGTCTGTGTTCCATATCCTTTGTTAGGTGGTATAATCAAGTGAATAATATTGAGGTCAGGCGTCGGTGAAGCTGTCAAGCAATATCGATTGAGGTGGTTAGGACATGTATTATGTATGCTTAGCCATCGCCTTCCTCGACAAACAATGCTAGCTGACATAAGATTAGGCTGGAAAAGAGCTAGTGGGGGTCAAAGCAAAACGTGGTACCTCTACACGAAATCTTTAACAGTTATTTTGAGGCATATATAGAGGTGTAGACTACCTGGCTGAGGTCCTCAGGATTCTTTTATTTTATTTTTATTTTTGATTACAGCTTGATTCCACAGCGTATTTTTGGTACAAGTATGGAATTTTCAGCGTGGATATCGGTAGCCCAAATTTCGCAGGTTTGACCATAGATATCAGGTGTGCGTCGGTAGGGGATCGAACCCCGGACCATGTGCATGGTCGGCGAGAGTCCTAACCACTGTGCCACCGACGCACAAATGGCTAGTGACAATTGGTGATATGGCTTAAAATCGTTCTCAGTGGCGCGGATGCATTTACTCTTCATGATCTGCAATATCCGACAAAACGCCATAGTTTTTCCCTGTTACTATTCTTTCTACTTCCCATTTCTACATATTAAGGTTATTCCGAGTGTCTTTTTTCTGTCTTTGTGTGCTTCATTGGTTGTGGCAACTCGAACTGCTGCCCTTTCGTACAAAGCTCTGTGTTAGTTAGTAAGAGTGACTGAGTAGTACCATGAGCCTTCACACAATGAACATGGCCCATAGCCTGAAACATGAAGACTGTCCCGGCTGCCTGAGTTCAAACAAATGGCTCAGTTTAAGATAGCCATGAGTCATAAGATCCTAAAAATATGGACACCAAGACATGCACCACACACAATCTCATAGTTTGTACCTGGGCCGGGATACTTTCCGGACAACTAGACCGAAGCAGGTGGTTCACTGAAAGGGCCACACCCCGAGCACTTGCCTTGATACCTGGTCCATCTAGCAGTGGAGTAGCGTCGGAAGCTGCGTTCCTATGGTTGCCTGCGACCAAAACAGGTTCATATGCCATTCGATTCTGGAGCCTATGAACATCATGGCCTCGAAATCGGGGTTTTCCAGCTCCCCTAGGTAGATCTTCATGTCCACCAATCCAGTGGTAACCATCAGAAGTTACCAGTTGCTTTTTCTTTCTCGTAAAGATAGTGGATAAGACTTTCCAGAGGCTATGGATGATTGGCCACATGAGGGCATTTTGAGAGGCAGACCGAAGTCTACCCACCCTTGGCTGTACGAGGTGGTTTATTGGTCGCACTCATCACTCTAGTTATCATAATAATACTTATCCAACCTAACTTTGTAGTATGATTGGACTTTCTGGATTGGCCCAACGAGTATTCAGTTGTAGTTCATACAGTCATGCGTTAAGAATATCCAAATTTTTGAATTCATTTTTTTCAAACTTATCACACTTGCTTGTGGTGCAAACCTAGTTTTTCAGTGAGCTTGTTATTGCCCACATACTGAAGTGACCTAAGTGTGTGTTATTCATAATGAAAGATCACTTGTTTCTTGAGATTCAGTAGCTGGTGTACTATGAAACTAGTTTCAATGGCCTATAAATCTTGAGCAACATTCTTAAAAGCGACCATAATGCATTTTACTTCCTACTTTGTTTTAACAATTTGCCAATTGTTTCTCCTCAGTGCTTATTTAGATATGTTTTTATATATGTCCCTTATTTTACTATTGTAAATGGTAGTTATTTAAATGGATGCACTTCAGAAACGTTCATATTAGACATTTATTTACTTAAAGGTGAATTCGGTTTACTTATGCATTGTGCTTGATAACCTAAGACTGAAACACAGTGCGTTTTCGACAGTGGTTACATTTGTGTGAATAGCTTGTATTCTATTGTTACACGAATGTATAACATTTCTAAACAAGTGTAGACTGTTTGTTGATATTCTTTATTTTACAATATTAAACACATTTTTCTAGATTTTTTATTTGGTGTAGTTTACTTTAATAATTTCATTCAATAAGTACGTTTTCAGACAATTTATTGTCCATAATTAGTTCATTTTGTCTGAACTGGTTTTCAACTAATAGTACTAGTTTTTACTATGTGAATTACAATTTAACACAGTACCTCACTTTAGTATAATTTTAAGGTTGTACTTCCAAATAAATTTACATTAAATCTTTACCTTAATTTTCACAGGTGCTCGTGCATCTGGGCCGAGTATTCTGCCATCTATGGTCGGTCAGGATGTTAATCAAGTAAGTCAGCTTGGAGGGAGAAGAGTGTTACCCACTGATCCGCGTTTACACCAAATCATCGGACGGGCCGCTGCTGCGTAAGTTCCTGTTTTGTATTTGTTTGAACTCGAAATTCAGACGTTAAATTCGTTTTGCATTTCACTATTGTTATGTCTGGTCCCTAGTAAATTAAACCAAATATTGTAGCATCTACCGATGTACTGTCTGCCGTTTACTTTTGAAAGATTGAAAAAAGCTACTTTAAATGCAACTCTGATTGAATAACTAATGAATGTAAAACCTCACAAGTTGATTGGTTAACTGGTCACTGGTTTTCTGCCAGTTTAACTGTTTATGATAGTTAGCACAAAGTAAATGTTAATTAGTCCTTTTTTTCTGCGTTTAAATAACCATTTCTAGACCAGAAAAGAGTTGATTTTATTTGGTTTAGGAACGTCCCGTCATTTTCCGACCGACGCTGAACGAGTAGTTCTGTGTTCTGACATCCCTTTCATGTAGTATCCGGAATGCACCTATTAGGAAGAAGCTGATTGGCTCGTATCACATTCTGCTATCCTAGTTTGGGGTTTGTTTCGAGTCCAAGTCTCCAGTCCAAATATGATGTCATAAGTAACATTACCACATCTGGTAATCAATTTTACTATCCTCTTATTTCATCCTACTCTACAGTTTTTAGCCTATACTTGGGTCACATATATGATAAACTTTGCGGTAATTGGTAGAAGTCTTTTAAAACAAATAGTTGTTTGCTGTTCGCAACCCTCTCCCCATCAATGCTTCTGATGAAATTTAGTGATTTACAAGTGTCTCATTAGTGTTGTGCTTGTAAATAAGAACTTTTGGATGATCTCTACGGATGTCCATTCTCTTTGTACTTTCAACGCAACTCGATCAGAAGTGCTTACAAATATTTCTGCGTATTAGTAAATTTTAATTAATATTTAAATAAATTTATATATTGATTTTAATTAATATACTCCATGGTATGTCTAGGGCGAAATTTCCACGGTGTGTGAATATAAACTAAGAACAGTTGTGAGTGGTAGTTTCGGCTCACTGTGGTAACAAAATGTGCTAAGGGGGACTTGCGAAGATGTAACGTGATTGGAGGGTCGATGTTAAGGACTGCTAGCCATTTCGTGTAAACATCAACTAGAATTAGATAATCATTGTCATCAATTGATTCAGAAAAATCGATATGAAAACTTGACCACCCGTATCTAGGCTGTGACCAGGAGGTAAGTAGTGGCAGTTTAGGGTGCTTGACTCGTTGCTGACATTCTGCACATCTATTCAAATAATCTGCGATCTGCTGCTCTGTCAGCATTAATGTCGCCTGATGATAGGAATACATTATAAGAGTTCGGAATGGTCAGGTCAAAACGTGTCATCCACTTAAAAAGGTGTAGGCTATGTGTCTGGAGTTCTTGTACTGCTCAGGTCCAATGGCCGGAGATTATTGGTGATATCGATCAAAAATCTTTCTGAATGGTGCAGATGCACTTACCCTTGTGATTTACCAGATTTATTAAATTCTTACTGTTATTCATGCAATTATTCTGTCTCCCCTACATTTCCGTTTATCGTCGTGTGTTTGCATTTCTTTTTTCTCTACCTATATGTTTTTACGTAATTTTTTTACGTTTCAGTCATAGTATCTCCACGTAAGACATAACACTGCCAGTGAAAACTTTACATTTAAACGATTCACCACACTATATATTATATATCATTCACCTAAGCCGTGAAAGTTCGCAGATGTTTCGTTATCCTTGTTTCCAAATGATGATTAACCTTCGCCTTAGCTCAAGTGTCGGCAGCACATGGATAGGGTAAATAGCCAAAAAGTAAATATAGTAGTTAGGGACCTACAGATCAAAGTTGATAGATAGTGTTACAAGCGTGTGGAGGCGCTGTATGAGAGTGGAATAAGATAAAATATTCACAGCTACTGTTAGGTGTCGCTAGATCGTTCAGCCCTGTATTTAAATTTATACTACATTTTAAAGAAATAAAATCTGCTAGAATTACATTACAAAAACAATTTAGACAGTTAAGTTATATACTGCATATACTGAATCCCGCCTTTGCTTGAATGTTTGGTGTAAGCTAGTGTAAGGTTAGATGAAGGTAAAAGTAAACATAACTGAGGAAATCAAACAAATGGTTTGTCTGAATGCATCGGCTATAGTAGGTATTTTTCAAGAGCTACTCGATCATTCAGTGTTAGCTCAAAATCTGTTTCAAGTGATCAGGTTAATTTGATTGTCTCAATGTACGAAGTTTTAAATAGCTTATCGAACTTTGTTTACATACACTTCACATCTTTATCCGTTTTATTTGCTTTAATAAATCTCCACACTTGCACCATTCCATTTTTGTGATATTGTTAAATGTGACAACTTAAATCACTGGAATTTTTTTTCTAATTCGCTTTGCTTACTTTACCAAGAAATGACAAATTTTATCAGGTATAATGTGTAAAAAAATGTGCAGATTATATAATCACACTCTCATGGCAACAAAGTATTTGACGGGAATCTACTAGTTTTCTTTGAAAATCAATTCACCTACACACTCACGATAATTCATTGCACTATTTTTAAAGATTAGAAATATCTTCACATTAATTGCTTCTGTCATCTACCGTTAAGAAATGAGATACTACTTGTATCCATCCTTCTGTAAGGTTGTGATCTTATCTTCAATAAAAGTATACATAGGTTGTCGTCAACATTAGACCAAGTGTTACTGTACTCTGTTTCAAGTTGCCATATACTGTATTTGCATATGAAGTAGATATTGAAAAAGAAAAAAAGTATGTCTAAAGCGCTATATAACAATGGGAAGAAGATAAAGTAGATGGAGAATTGTCAGGATAAAGATAAATCCTGAAAACATTGCCACCACTGAGTTCGGTTCTGAACAACATCACCTACAGCATCTAGCCATAGTTTCTAGTAGTTAGGTAGATCTCAACCGGTTAACCAACTCTTTCTCATCCAGCTCACATCAAGAGCTTTTGGCTTCACGGTTTGATTTCAACGTAAGTCTATAAAAAAATATATTGTTCATTGACTACGGTTTGTCCGTTTCAATACCTAAATTTTCAGCAATGCAAAGAAAGCAAATAGTCACCAGTAGTCACTGGTTATTTCTGTCTTTGAAAATAACTTGTAACAAAGAACTTAATGAGATTAAAGTAATGCTTTTGAGAAGATTTTCAATTGTTACAATTCTCAGAAATCCACTTCCACCTATTTGTAACCACTCACTTGGTACATAAACCATTATGCCTTTAGGATTTACCGTTAACAGGTTTCAGCGTTAATGTGCTGTCGGTGTTTACCTTTACTCTGTTACAGTCTTCTTGACTTCTTATCATTCGGGTCTGTTGTAGTTATCATATTTTTTATGAATCTATCACAACTGTTGAGACAAGCTTTTCTCACTATGATTACTTGACACACAGTTATCTCTCAACTAAGCATTTGCTTATTTCAAATTATCATTTATGTGTCAGAAAATAAGTAATATTGTCATTTGTTGTATTCATTAATTAAGAACAATGATTGTTATTTTAGGAAGCGGAAACGGCGTTTAGCTGATCGTCTACTTACAAAAACTGTACGAGAAATCATTCCAGAATCTGAGTCGTACATGGAACTTTTGGAAGTTGAAAAGAAATTAGATTTCGTCCTAATGCGTAGACGCCTATCACTTCAGGAGGCAATGAAAAAGCCTTTTAAAGTAGTTTGTTGTATCACACTAACAGTTACTTGTATTGTAGGTGAAGCGTAAACTGCGAGTTATGCTGAGTAGTACTTTCAAACCTGGCTCCACAGTTGTACCTGTTGGATCTGATGGACAACCTACTCCTGGTGATTGTGCACCAGGTTGGGAATTGAAAGTTGAAGGACAGTTGCTTGATAAAGTAAGTTTTTACTGCAGTCAATTTTTTAAAAATTAATCTTCACATCGGTGGAGTCACTGATATTTTCTTCATTTATTGGCATAAAAGAATTGTAACAAGGAAATTTATTTTTAGCTGGTTGTTTTTTCGAAAAACCATACAGCGATACTTAAATTAGTATTCCACATCTTACAAAAAGGAACGCCACACATGGCTATATCAGTTTTGAGGAGAAGCAAAGTCAAGGGCAGATTTTGTTTGATGGGTTTTCCCCGTATGACTTGACGGAAATTACTTAGCCACGGGCATGTTATCACAACATAATCAATGTATGATTTTTAGCAAAGAGTATACTCATATAGACTGTTTGTACTAAAGCAGTTTAGTTGTTCAATAGCTCTCAAGAAAATTAATGAATAAAGTTACAATCGACTTAAAAATCAAATAATGAATTGAATTAGTGTGATTTTTGACGAATCGTCAGCGAATCTGCTAGAGTAAGTAACTGGAAGTTATAAAATGTGATAACTATTGTTTAGATCTCTTTGAGTTATGAATAACTGTGTCTTTCCTCTTTTACGTTAATATGATGATAGTGTTTTTGATAATAATAATAGTCTACCACTAAAGCATGTGCATGCATTTTAAGCTTAAATATATATTTTTTCTTCTGTGAAACAAATGGGTTTTGAAATTTCTGTTCTTTCAGCCGGGTCAACCAAGTAATAATGATCCTAAGTGTCGTAGAAAATTCTCGTCATTCTTTAAATCTCTTGTAATTGAATTGGATCGTGAGCTGTATGGCCCGGATAATCATTTGGTTGAATGGCATAGAACAGCTACCACAGCTGAAACAGATGGATTTCAGGTATCACTGTAATTGGATTTAATGCAATTATTTATTCTGCATTTGAAAGTGTATACTTCAAATTGTTTTCTTTTAGTGGAGAAGTAATCTATAACCCTTTAAATTCTGATAAGCTTGTTCCTTGTTTGTATTCGAACATTTTGACCAGAAGAATTGCGTCATAATGTATACCACTGACCAGCATAGAATCACATCAGTCAGTGAAGTTTCTTGACTGAAAAGAAAAGATATGACCACCTGTTTGTTTCATTCTCATCATAGATCAGTAGTCTGAAACTCTTTTATTTACTCAAGTGTTGGTTTGTAGGGATTTGATTCGTTGCAGGATTTTCATCATGAGCTGACGTTAGTTAGAGAACCATTGGAAAACCTCGGAGTACTGGACAGTTGTTTCGTCCTAGTTTGAGACCCTTCAGCAATACGCACCCGCCGGGATTCGAACCCAGGACCTCCTGGTAACAAGGCGAGCTCGTATACCATTAAGCCACTGGGACCCGATCCAATGGCCCACGAATTCTAACTTCTGCCAATTCACGATATAGCGCGACCGCTGGCCAATGTCTTCGGCGAGTATTTGTCCTCACACCCGACCTGCTGCACCCTACTGGTCACGACTTCCCACTGGAACCCAGGTAACTACCTACCTGAATAGGGCCAGTCGCCAGTGAGCATCTTATTGGTATTCAAGTGTTGGTTTGTAGGGATTTGATTGGTTTCACGATTTCATCATGAGCTGACATTAGTTTTACATTTTCAGGTTAGAGATGCATTCCACCGAAAAACATAGAAAATATGTACTGAGTTTCAATAACCATAGTGATTTCAAGCTGATTAAAGGGGGTATGTTTAGTGAAAGTCTAGATGAGAAAAACTATTGTTCTCCCGGTGTTTCCCCTTTATCTTTGTTGGACGAATGCTGGTTGGACGTGAATGATTGCTTTTGGTTGTATTTTTTGCAATTTAAATTCTTTGTTCACATAAGCGTGCAGAAAATCTGTATTTTAAGTCCATCTTTTAGCGAATGAAGTGGATATATACTACCTGGACAGCTGACTTGGTTGATTTCACCAGATAATTGGTGACCGTATTTGTTTATTGTGTGTATGTATGCCTTGTTCTCCCCCATTTTCATTAGTTTTCTTCCAAATTGTATAAAAGACTTTTCGAAGACTAGTCGATTTCCCATAGTATACTAGTATACTATACTTATTTGGTAAGTACCATCAGCCAGTGCCAACGGGTTGATCTCTGACGAAATCTCAGTACCGATACAGAGGGCTAGTTTCTCATATGCCAGTTTACGCCGTCTCTGGCGTAGACGTGATATCCGACTATCGATCAAAGGACGGGTGTACTGCTCATCACTCCGCTCCGTTCTCCTTTATGGCTGTGAGACCTGACCATTGAGAGAGAAAGACATGAAAAGATTAGCTGTCTTTGATCATAGGTGCCTGCGTTCTATCTCCCGTGTCAGGTGGTGGTATAGTAGGGTGAGCAATATTTAGGTTATGCTTCGGTTGAGTGCTAGGTAAAGAGGGGAAATCAATCGATGAGGCTGTGAAGCGCCGTCGACTGAGATGGTTATGACATGTTTTACGTATGCCTAGCCATCGTCTTTCTCCATGAGCAATGTTAGCTGACATAGGGTCAGGCTGGAAAAAAGCTAGCGGCGGTCAAACAAAAACTTGGCACCAGTCAATCAAATCCACAACAGTTGGTCTAAGCCACGTAGGAAGGTGTAGACTTCCAGGCTGGGTTCCTCGGGATGGTAAAAATCTATGGTTGAAAACAATTGATGACATGGCTCAAAATCGTTCTCAGTGGCGCAGATGCATCCACTCCTTGTGACTTATGATTTCCAGTGAAACTGTTTCGTTTTTCGTTACTACTATTCCTTTGTCTCAAACCTCTGCTTACTGTCTCTATTATGCATTTCTTGTACTTTCTTCTCTTTGTGTGCTACATGGAGTGTGGCGACTTGAACTCCCGCATATATGTGCAAAGTTCTATGTCGAAAACAGACAGACAGACAGTATACTAGTTGAGTTTGTACTGTTGAACAACGGGAGTCGTTTATCCATAGAAGCAGATCTAAGTGTTATTTATTTCGTTACATTCATCCATGCACTAAACTCCAGTTACTGTTTCTGAGTCATGTAACTTTTGTGGTTCTATTTGACATGGCTAGACCACGAGGCTGTTAATCCCCTGGTTAGTGCTGTAAGTCACAAACAAATTCAATTATTAAAAGGTTGTTGATGTAGACGGACATCAGTAACATTTTGCGTATAGTCAGTTCTTGCTTTCCAATCTGGTTATTTTCCTACCACGCCTACCGTTTGTTTCTTTTATATTTTATGTCTCCTTACCGCAGCGATGTTAAATGCGACAGCTTCAACTGATATTCACTTGGGTTAAAACTCACCTCCTTAGTGTCTGTTTTGTTCATAACCGTGTGTATGTGTGTGTGTGTGCTTAGTGGTGAAGTATAGTTATAACTGCATTTTATGGTGTAGAAATGGTTTATTAACCGTCAAACTGTTCACCACTCATACCGTATTCATTGGTGAGTTTTCTTATAACTTGTAGGTGAAACGTAGAGGCGATAGTAACGTTCGTTGTACAGTACTGTTAATGCTGGACCACCAACCTCCACAGTACAAGTTAGATCCTCGATTAGCTAGGATACTGGCTCTTCATACTGGTACACGTTCACAAATATTCTATGCTTTATGGAACTACATAAAGACGCATAGGTTAGTTTTATTTGTATGTTTACTTAAATTGTGTTTTTGCAAATATATATTTTACGCTGTTCACAGGTGTTGTTTGTTTGGAATCCTATTTATTCCTTGTCTGTGCATTTGACCAAGTTCATTGTAACCAACATTTCCTTGTATTCCTTTTAAAATATTATCAGCTACAGTTACTTAAGCAACTTTATCATAGTAAATTTAGCATCGATGAAATGTGTGCCGTTTTTATCCAAATTTTATGCATTACTACGTTCCGTTTATTCTGAAGTGGTAATTTTTGAGATCATATGTTTATTTACTTAGACAAACTTGGTAGAATATGGGTGATAAGGAATGCACCATACAAAATTAATAGAATTACAATATATGGGAAAATTAGAATGATTGACAAACAGCATCGTATAAACAGGCAAGCATACTTATCAAGAGCATTTAAGGAATGTTAATATATGTGTAAAACTTGGGCACTGTATTATTATTATTATATCCTTTAATTCCTAGAGGACCATAGGGCTTCAGCTGTGCGTCTCCATAGCCTTCTGTTTTCTGCCAACTTTTTCACTCCGCTCCAAGTCTGCCCACATGCTTTCATCTCCTCTTCACATGACCTCCTCCAAGTCACCTTTGGTAGTAAGTAATTCCATATTAGTTTGTTTATTAGGTTTATCACACAGGGAAACAGTATTATTTACTGGATGACGTTTCGAACACAATTTATTGTTCATAATCACATCCATTGTAATCACACGACTTTGAAACTTGAGTTTTATAGTTTTCTTTGTCTTCTCCTATTTGTCGTAGGAGTAGTAGAATTCTCCATATATCTGGGACAGGTGATGAATCACTCCCATTACATGTATTGCAGTTGATTCGATAAACAAAGCTTCTGTTATCAATGTCTCCCTATACCCTGTGACATTAGATTTTAAAACTGTCATCCTTTCCCATCCTATTTTATGGCTGTGTGTAATTGCATTTAGTGCTATAGCTGAACTATTCTCTAGATTTCTTATCTTATTTGGGTCAACCAATCTAGATTTTGCTAGGTTTTTATGTTCGGCTAGTGTGATCACAATTGATATGATTATGAACAATAAATTTTGTTCGAAACGTCATCCAGTAAATAATACTGTTTCACTGTGTGATACATCTAATAAACAAGCATTTAAGGAACATTCATCGATTAATGTCACTTTTAGGAAGAGGAAATCGCCACTGATTACGATTCTCAGCCATATCTGATAACATCTCGAACCATTGATCTGGATTATATCTCACACCCCACCCAGCGAGTCGTGATGCACCAGCAAATGCTAATTTAACACAACTATCTTCCATCTAGCTGCGCCACGTCGTGATCTGATCACGACACCTTTGCACTTTCTCCACCCAGTTGTAGGGCTGGCGGATAGTGAACAGTATAGGTGGTGCAAACAACACATTCGTAGAACATATCCAAGTCCGTGCTCTTACGAGAGTAGTGTTTGATCTAATGCGTAAGAGCTTTACGCAGATTAGCATACTTACATTACTCACAAGTCAATAAGACGATCGATACTAATGCTAACTGACAATCAGTCGCAACCAAGGTCATGATTGGAGACAAATATATCACTCAGGTAGAATTCAGATAAGTTCACTTCATGTTGAATTCCGCGCTTAAGATGTCTAAAGAGCCAATGATAGCTTCGCTGTTAATCACCCAGCTCAGACAACACAATCACATCGAAAATACTCGCTGTCTACCAGAAAAACCGGACAGGCGTCAAAAAGTTGCAAAGAACTCAAAAACCGAATGATTTTTAGCAGGATATTCTTTTAAATCGCAAGCGGCTTTGCTCACCACTTTCATAGTATCCTGGGAGTACAGCTAGTGTTCGTCTTTGCTATTTGGAGGGGTGGGTGGTAAATAACTAGTCTTAAGTGTAGCCTTGTCAGCAGCGACAAGTGCTGCGAGTTTACATACGTCGATTCGTTGGGGACGACTTTTATGCTCACCTCTAAATCTCAAGATAAACCTGGCGAGCACTAAAGCATGATTTGTATCTAGACATGTGCTACAGATGGCATGGGAATCTTGTGTGACAGAGGCAAAATACCGGATCGCACCATCATGTAGTCTTTGTGGGAGGTTGGTGCTAGCTTGAAATAGCTAGCGGTCTGCACGATCTAGCCTCTGTTTTCCACCTAAATAACTCTGCTCTAATCCTAGACTCCTGACATGCGCATTCAAGTTAATGGGGAAACAGTCAGTTAGTGCTACATCGGAACACTGTCTCATTCACAATAGCTCAAGTATATTCAGTTTTTATCGTCTTCTAGATTCGCAATTTCATCACTAATGTTTATTTAATTATTGTTTATGTCGCAACCAGGTCCGTCATTCGTGAAATCCTTCTTTCCACGTTGCCTTATTTGTTATACTTTTACAAGTGATTCATCTCTGCACACATGTGTATGTTTATTTTTAAGTTCTAGTTTTAAACCCTAGTTCAACTATTAAGATATAGGTTACCAAGAGTTATCACCTCCCCATTTTACTAAAAGTTCGCTTAGTGAATACTTAAATTAGAACATTAAAAGAAGAGACGTAGTTTTGTTGATTTCTCTGGTTAATAAGGGTTTTGTCTATTATGTGCATACGCTTCAACTAACTGCTCCACTGAGTGATTTTTTCTATGAAAAGTGAAATTACTATGGAAAGGTAGTTGAATAATATACTTTCATTATGCCAGATAGGTTGAAGTAGCTGAAAGTCGAGTATTTTAAAGAATAAAATCCACATATATGTGAAATAACTTTTCTCTCCCTAGTAGTCTATATAATTGTTTATTTTTTCTTATTGTCAAACGTTTATCGAGCCTCATTTTTGAACTGTCGATTTGTCTTCGTCACATGTCCTCTTTCACCTCTCATAATCAGCGCTATGTGCTTTTACTACTACTGTCGTTTTGTGACTATTGTTTGTGAAATATATTGTGCTCATTGTATTTTATAGTCATCAAAGGCTTTGTTTGGCACATTTTCCAGTATCTAACTAAACTGAATTCCTTCTTTTTTATTCTCATCCTTCAGACTAACTGTAGTACTCTTGATATGCGTCTGATGTTTAGAGAATTTGAAGCTCACCGGCATTTCACCCATTTAGTAGATGTTAGAATTTGAAATCTCAAAAGTTAAACAATACACCCATCCAGTCAGTGCTGTAGAAAGTGATGTTAATGATCTTTGGTTTTAAAGGTTAGATCAGCAAAGCAGTTCTTAAAAATAACTCCACAGACCTTGTGTAAAGTGAGTGTCCTCGGAGCAGTTTACGATGCTTCTTGTGAAGAATAGTACTTATTTATTAGATTATCTGTGTTAGCTTGTCAGTTTTTATGAAGTGTTAGAAAAGGTTCAGTTTTTAAAAGATATTATTCATATTTGAAAATAACCTTTCAGAAAGTAATTTAATAAAGGGGACTTACGTGCATTTTTCTGAAGCGTCAGAGACATGTCATTAGAAAAAATGATTGCGATCTTTGGTGTAAAATATCTATACATTTCCTCTCAGATGATCTCCATGGTATCTTACAGTCATTTTATTTTCTATATTCAAGTGTTGGTTTGTAGGGATTTGATTCGTTGCAGGATTTTCATCATGAGCTGACATTAGTTAGAGAACCATTGGAAAACCTTAGAGTACTGGACAGTTGTTTCGTCCTAGTTTGGGACTCTTCATCAGTACGCACCCACCGGGATTCGAACCCAGGACCTCCTGGTTACAAGGCGAGCTCGTATACCATTAAGCCACTGGGACCCGATCCAATGGCCCACGAATTCTAACTTCTGCCAATTCACGACATAGCGCTACCACACACCCGACCAGCTGCACCCTACTGGTCACGATTATTTCGTACACTCTATGGTTGACGTCGATAAATGCAAATTCGTTTTAAATATTTAACTCTCTCTTTCATTTTTAGATATTTTATGTTATATACAAAAAAATCCGTTGAAAAAAAGAAGAAATTCGTCTAGCATAATTTCTATTCAAATATCTGTTGTCTGTTTTAGATTACAAGACCCTAATGAAAAAGATTTTATCAACTGTGATTCGTACTTAGAACAAGTATTTGGCTGTCCACGTATGAGATTTGCTGATATACCAAGTCGTTTGGCACCATTACAACAGCCACCAGATCCCATAATTATTAATCACATTATTACAGTTGAGGGTGACGGTCCTAAAACAGCGTGCTATGATATTGAAGTTGAAGTGGTGAGTAAAACTACATAAAAAAATATTCTATGAGTATGCCTACTTTGATAAGGTGTTTATAGTGTGAAGTGAGAATTTTCAATAGGTAGATATGCAGGTCTGTCTACGGGTGTTTTTTTATTCATGATACCGATTGAATTTGTTTCCTTTACACGAAGCCTGGTATACTTGAATATATATATATATGGGTTATTGAGTGTTAAAATAATAAGAATCGTGTGCTGTTGGACAGAGAGACGAATACGTATGAGTTAAAGTGGCAGTACATTCAATCCTTTTGCATCTGTAAGTAACAAGTACACTACCGTAATCACTACTTGTGCTCCTAGATTATAATTACTGTGTAAATACGTAAATGTCTATGCCAGCGCCACTCAGCAGAATAAGTTTCCTGTAACCAGCCTCTTAATTTAGTAGTGCGATTCGCTAACTTTTCTTGTCATTGTACTTAATCAACTGGTTGACTTAAAATCTATATTTTGCATGTAGTGGTCATAGTCTTTCCTCCACGGTTCCAACCTTCTATCCTGAGAGGCAATCAAAGCATATCTGTTCTCGGAGATCGTTGCACTTATCTTTGGGGTCTTACAACCCGTTTTCCTAATAAGTCTGAACAGCCGACGTTTTTGTTGCTCATTATTGTTCACCATCGTTGCGAAAGCTTCTGGTTAGCTCGCATTTTGGTAGCTGCTTTTGCTCTTTGTTATGTCCAGAACCCACTGGAATCAGTTTTACTGCATCTCTCACTTCAGATGAAACAAAAAGAATTCACTGACACTTACTAACTGTTGCTTTTAGGCTACCAACAGGTCTTACCACTGTTTCCACAGTCGACTGGATATTGTTCTAGATGGGTTCTTAGGTATGAATCTTACTGTCAGTGTCAAATACGCTGTATGATAGGATATACAATCTTTAGAGTGTACCTTTTCTAACTTCTGTTCTTAGAGCCAATAGTTAGCATTGTTAGTTTCCTGGTCGTCCGAGAGAAACATCTAACTGCTATTGCATCCATGATCGCCAGCAATACGACTTCACCCTCAGACCCTGAGAGATTTATACTACGATGATGGATCAGGATTTGAACTTGGGATTCACTGAGTGAAAGTTGAATGCCTAGACCAAATGATTAAACCATGCTATCTCTGTAAAAAGGAGTATAACAATCATCCTACTTTTCTAAGAACAGTTGATTTTCATAGACTTGTGTAATTCTAAGATTAGTCTATCGGACTTACTTCGTACCATGAATTTTTCTTGAAAACATCCCAAAATACAGCCCGAAGCGGATTGAAATATATTTGTCGGTTTTTCAACAATAAAGACAGAAAGGCTAAAACGAGACAAAACAGTAGAGCTTGACGGTTCACTTTCAGAAGCTTTTAATTATAAAAATGGGGGGAAACACTCAGTCATCGAAGGTCACTAACCAGTTTGCAGAGAGTCAGTGGTAGTTCCAATAATTTCGTCTATGTTCTTGATGATTACAGTTTAATTAGAAAGGGATCAAATTTTCCTGTAGTAAGCTGACACTGGTGTTGTTTATTACGGAGTAGGGTGGCTAGCCTCACGCTCAGCCTTCTCTCCTTACAGGGATCACTACCGGCTAGGCGAAGTAAAGTAGTGAGCCGGCTGGGGATTAAACCCTGGGGACCATTTGCGCGGTTAGCCGGTGGTTATCCAACACTGAGCCGTTGACACTTCAAATGCTTCTAGATAATAATAATAAAAAGTAATTAGTACATTTTTATCTCTGAAAATTAATGGTTATTCAGCATTCAAGTAGATAATTTCAAGCAACAAATTCTATTAGATTTTTTTTTTGTAATAAAATACGGTAAGAAATTCATCTTGTCTCAAACTAAATTAAGGTAGTGTGTTCTTGTTTTTCTGAAGACTATCGATAATTAAAAAGTAGTAATTTATATATAGCAAAGAAAAACGTTATACTTCCATAATAATTGAAGGGGCAAAATTATCTAAACTTTTGTAAATATAAACAAGCAAGCAAAACGAAATAGGCAGTAAAAACATGAGTAAATGTCCCTCACAACTGCTTGCGGTTTGTATTTGTGCTACACAATTCGTGTTCGTTGGTTTCATCTCTCCTCGAATTTAAGACTGCTGTCAAGTTTGTGTCTATCGATGGAGTGTTGACTTAACTTTAACCTACAATCTGGAATTGTTTTCTTTTTTCTGCAGGATGACATATATAAAGGTATGGTGCATAGTTATCTAACCAGCACACATTCTAACCAAGAGCTAGTCGCGATAGACAATAAAGTAAGTTTTTGTTTTATTGTCACCAACTTAATCTTTGTGTTGTTACAAATCAGATATTAGTGTGTAAGAAAAGACATCTGTTCAAAGTACTCAGTGAGGTTGGTGTTTGTTCCTGTTATCTCACAGTAATCACGTTTCCCAAAACCCACTGTAACCTGATGGTGGTTGGAAGATAAGCCACAGCTTTACATAAAGCAAAATATTTGAGTCCGTAAACATCTGTCTAACAACATATATCTGATTGAAAATGAATTTTCATCCGAAATAAATCACAAGGTTTATGTCAGCTAATTTGTCTGTTACCGTAGTCATCGCTATAAAAACAAAAGTTGGTTTTTTTTACGATTGATTTGATTTCTCCATAATGGATAAGATTTCATTTTGATAAATCACACAGTGCACATTGATTTGATGATATTAGATAGTTGGAGGCAATCGGCAGGAAGCCTTGGACCTAGGTTTAGTGCTAGTCCGAATGACTCAGTAGTAACGTCTCTCACTGCAGCACTGGGTCACGCGGGTTCAAGTCTCAGAAGGGACACGATTTCCTTCAAGGTTGCAGATACGCCTTGCTGACTAGTGAGTGCCAACTAGCACAAAACCTAGGTCCAAGACTTCCTGCTGATTGCCTTCAACTATCTAATATTATCAAATCAATGTACACCGTGGTGGCGAGCTACCTAGAATAGTCGCCACATTGCAAACATGACTGATAGAATTCAGTCTGAACCAAAGAAAGGACTAGGCGCGTCACACTAGTTACTAGTGTTCAATTAAAATAACACAGTGTTATACAGTAATATTAAGTGATGACGTTTCGAGCACAAACTGTTTCTCATAATCATATCGAGTTACTCATACAACTTTTTTCCTTCATTTATATGTGTGTGATATTTGTATTGAGTCATTTCTGTTGCATGTGTTGGGTTTAGACTCGATGAACTAGGATTCAGTAATCAATCTCTTTCTCCACCAACATATATTACTTCTTAGAATTTTAACCCTCTCTCACCCTATTGTGTGTGTTAATGCATGCAGTACAATCGCTGAGCTTTTTTCTAAATTATTTTTGATTTGATTTCTTTCAAATTCGTAGGCGATGACGGTGAAAAAATGCAGAATCTTCTGAACACATTGAGCCGCAATCTACGAATGTTTGACATGTGATTCGCTCCCGCCAAATGCAAGATGATGTTACAGGACTGGACCACACTGACTCCTAGTTTAGAAATAGGGAATGAAGTAGTAGAGCACGTTCACTTATTTGGGAAGTACCATCAGTCCCAACGGGTTTATCTCTGACGAAATCTCAGAACGGATACACAGGGCTGGTTTCGCATATGCCAGTTTACCCCGTCTCTTGCGTAGACGTGATATTCGGCTATCGACCAAAGGACATGTGTACTGCTCATCACTCCGCTGCGTCCTCCTTTATGGCTGTGAGACCTGGTCATTGAGAGTGGAGGACATGAAAAGATTAGCTGTCTTTGATCATAAGTGCCTGCCTTCTATCTCCTCTGTGAATTGGCATAATAAGGTGAGCAATATTGAGTTTAGGCGTCGAGTTCTAGGTAAGGAGGGGAAATCAATCGACGAGGCTGTGAAGTTACATCGACTGAGATGGTTACGACATGTTTTACGTATGCCTGGCCATCGTCTTTCTCGATGAGCAATGTTAGCTGACATAGGGTCAGGCCATGGCACCAGTCAATGAAATCCACAACAGTTAGTCTAAGCCACGTAGGAAGGTGTCTGTCTGTCTGGATTCAACATAGAACTTGGCACCGAAGTGCAGCAGTTCGAGTTGCCACGTTCCAAATAGCCCACAGAGGTAGACAAGAAGATGAGTGAAGAGAATCAATAGAGTTTGACAAATATAAGAGTGAAACAGAATGGGTAATGGTAGAAAGGAATATGAAAGATTACAGAGACTGAATACATCTGCGCTGGTCATTGACAACGATTTTAAGCCATGTCACCTATTGTCTCCAGCCATTGATTCCTAGAGTCAATCCCGAGGGCCCCAACCCGGGAGTCTGCATCTCCCTACCTGACTCAGTTTAACTGTCAAGGATTTCATGGATTGATGCCATGTTTTTGTTTGGCCACCACTGGCTCTTTTCCAACCTGAACCTATATCAGCTAGCAAAGCCCGTCGGGGGAGGCGGTGGTTAGGCATGCGCAGCACGTGACCTAGCCATCTTAGTCTATGTAATTTTATAGCCTCGTCGATTGATTTGCCCTCTTTGCCCAACACTCTACGCCTAACATCAACATTACTTATCTTGTGAAACCACCTAACGTGAGACAGAGATCGCAGACATCTATGATCGAAAGCAGTCAACCTTTTCATGTCTTCAACGCGTATTGGCCATGTTTCAGAGCCATAGAGAAGGATGGAGCGAACTGCTGAGCAGTACACACGTCCCTTGGTTGATAACCGGATGTCACGCCTACGCCAGAGATGGTGTAAGTCAGCGAAAGCAGCTCGAGCTTTTCGGATCCGTGCTGAGATTTCATCGCCAATCAATCCGTTGGTTGCAGATACGCCTTGCTGACTAGTGAGTGCCAACTAGCACAAAACCTAGGTCCAAGACTTCCTGCTGATTGCCTTCAACTATCTAATATTATCAAATCAATGTGCACCGTGGTGGCGAGCTACCTAGAATAGTCGCCACATTGCAAACATGACTGATAGAATTCAGTCTGAACCAAAGAAAGGACTAGGCGCGTCACACTAGTTACTAGTGTTCAATTAAAATAACACAGTGTTATACAATAATATTAAGTGATGACATTTTGAGCACAAACTGTTTCTCATAATCATATCGAGTTACTCATACAACTTTTTTCCTTCATTTATATGTGTGTGATATTTGTATTGAGTCATTTCTGTTGCATGTGTTGGGTTTAGACTCGATGAACTAGGATTCAGTAATCAATCTCTTTCTCCACCAACATATATTACTTCTTAGAATTTTAACCCTCTCTCACCCTATTGTGTGTGTTAATGCATGCAGTACAATCGCTGAGCTTTTTTCTAAATTATTTTTGATTTGATTTCTTTCAAATTCGTAGGCGATGACGGTGAAAAAATGCAGAATCTTCTGAACACATTGAGCCGCAATCTACGAATGTTTGACATGTGATTCGCTCCCGCCAAATGCAAGATGATGTTACAGGACTGGACCACACTGACTCCTAGTTTAGAAATAGGGAATGAAGTAGTAGAGCACGTTCACTTATTTGGGAAGTACCATCAGTCCCAACGGGTTTATCTCTGACGAAATCTCAGAACGGATACACAGGGCTGGTTTCGCATATGCCAGTTTACCCCGTCTCTTGCGTAGACGTGATATTCGGCTATCGACCAAAGGACATGTGTACTGCTCATCACTCCGCTGCGTCCTCCTTTATGGCCGTGAGACCTGGTCATTGAGAGTGGAGGACATGAAAAGATTAGCTGTCTTTGATCATAAGTGCCTGCCTTCTATCTCCTCTGTGAATTGGCATAATAAGGTGAGCAATATTGAGTTTAGGCGTCGAGTTCTAGGTAAGGAGGGGAAATCAATCGATGAGGCTGTGAAGTTACATCGACTGAGATGGTTTCGACATGTTTTACGTATGCCTAGCCATCGTCTTTCTCGATGAGCAATGTTAGCTGACATAGGGTCAGGCCATGGCACCAGTCAATGAAATCCACAACAGTTAGTCTAAGCCACGTAGGAAGGTGTCTGTCTGTCTGGATTCAACATAGAACTTGGCACCGAAGTGCAGCAGTTCGAGTTGCCACGTTCCAAATAGCCCACAGAGGTAGACAAGAAGATGAGTGAAGAGAATCAATAGAGTTTGACAAATATAAGAGTGAAACAGAATGGGTAATGGTAGAAAGGAATATGAAAGATTACAGAGACTGAATACATCTGCGCTGGTCATTGACAACGATTTTAAGCCATGTCACCTATTGTCTCCAGCCATTGATTCCTAGAGTCAATCCCGAGGGCCCCAACCCGGGAGTCTGCATCTCCCTACCTGACTCAGTTTAACTGTCAAGGATTTCATGGATTGATGCCATGTTTTTGTTTGGCCACCACTGGCTCTTTTCCAACCTGAACCTATATCAGCTAGCAAAGCCCGTCGGGGGAGGCGGTGGTTAGGCATGCGCAGCACGTGACCTAGCCATCTTAGTCTATGTAATTTTATAGCCTCGTCGATTGATTTGCCCTCTTTGCCCAACACTCTACGCCTAACATCAACATTACTTATCTTGTGAAACCACCTAACGTGAGACAGAGATCGCAGACATCTATGATCGAAAGCAGTCAACCTTTTCATGTCTTCAACGCGTATTGGCCATGTTTCAGAGCCATAGAGAAGGATGGAGCGAACTGCTGAGCAGTACACACGTCCCTTGGTTGATAACCGGATGTCACGCCTACGCCAGAGATGGTGTAAGTCAGCGAAAGCAGCTCGAGCTTTTCGGATCCGTGCTGAGATTTCATCGCCAATCAATCCGTTGGTTGCAGATACGCCTTGCTGACTAGTGAGTGCCAACTAGCACAAAACCTAGGTCCAAGACTTCCTGCTGATTGCCTTCAACTATCTAATATTATCAAATCAATGTGCACCGTGGTGGCGAGCTACCTAGAATAGTCGCCACATTGCAAACATGACTGATAGAATTCAGTCTGAACCAAAGAAAGGACTAGGCGCGTCACACTAGTTACTAGTGTTCAATTAAAATAACACAGTGTTATACAATAATATTAAGTGATGACATTTTGAGCACAAACTGTTTCTCATAATCATATCGAGTTACTCATACAACTTTTTTCCTTCATTTATATGTGTGTGATATTTGTATTGAGTCATTTCTGTTGCATGTGTTGGGTTTAGACTCGATGAACTAGGATTCAGTAATCAATCTCTTTCTCCACCAACATATATTACTTCTTAGAATTTTAACCCTCTCTCACCCTATTGTGTGTGTTAATGCATGC